GGGGAACAGCGATGCACAGTTGAATTAAGGAAGTCAGTCTGGGGATTATGCAAACAAGATATTTGGGTTAAACACTGGGTAAATACCCAGCCGATATAGCACGAGTTTTTTTGTTTTGCTTGGCGAGCGGACTTTCCTGACTGCGCACACACGTCTACGTGACTTGCGAGACCAGCACTGTAACCTGATTGGCCCTCGTGACTGTCGCATACGACACGGCCCTGGCAAGGACGCCTTGTAATCATGCCAATCAATAGGCCCAAGGTTCATTGCTTGCTGCGTTCTGGAATTCCGCCGGCCAGCTTTCCCTTTAAGAAGATGCAAAAATAGCAGTTATCCCGTCACCTACAGTTCACTAAGATGTTGGGGATTTCAAACATTTAACTTTTTTTCCCAGGCCAAACGAGCTTACTAAGTTTGATGGTCCATCAGTCATTACAGTAAAATTGTGGTAAGTGGCAGTAGTTGCTGACATCCACACTTGCGGATTGACTGCTGGACCAAGGACTTTAACCCACCGTTCATAATCGCGCACACTCAAAAAACAGGGATCTGCATTGTTCGTCGAATATTTTCTCCTCAAACGAACTGGTTGTGGCGAGCAATGAGACTAATCATATTTATGCTAGTTATTGGTGAGACTGACTTATGTTGCTCCCTAAACAGGACGTGGGAATAAGTACACCCCGCCAAGTAATCATGGTGGACCTGCACATAATTCGGGAAAGGGCAAAATATTCCCATGTCCTAACCCCAAAAATGACTCTAGCATCAGACCAAAGTCTGCAGCTAACACTAGTCCTACCTTAACCTTAAACTTGATCCTGACTTAACGTCAACGTTAAATATGGCCTAAAATCTAGTCCATAACCTATTCCTAACCTTAAAACTAACCCATATTTCACTGGAAGTTGGCTCAAAGCCACCGTATTACAGGCGGTTCTTGTCCTCATATCCTGTTTAGGGGGCCATATAAGTCAGTCCAACTTAATTATCTTCCCACCTCAAACGCAGGTCAAAACGAAGTCGATCTAACCCTTCTGTTAGGCTGATTTTTGTCAAATGCCAGTGCGCGAATGAAAAAAATTTAATTTTCCGAATAAAATCAATCTGGGAGGCGCATGCACATCTACTTGCGTAGACGTCTGTTCCCCTGAGAGTAACCAGACTAAGCATCCTCTTTACGGGCAGAATAACGTTACTGACAAAGGCAAGGGGGACTGAAATGTCCATTTCTTGTTTTTAGCCGCCGCCACACAGCCATACCCAACCCCAAGTTTGGCAACCCTCGAGGCTCCAGCCCACGTTCTGTTGGTTAGGAGGCCAACACTCAGTCACCAGGGGTTCGTTGTCGCGTTGGTTGCGATCGCACCAACAAAGCCGGAAACAACCAAAACAACACATGCCCCAAAAACACGGGTTGTGATCGACATACGGGCGTGCCGTTCAAACAGGTTTGACGCACTTTTCTCGAAAATACTTTTGACGTACCAAGCGGGGCACTTGTGGCTAGTTATGGTAGAAATGAAGTGCATTTTTATCATATAATTGGGATTTTGGTGGGTAGAAGGTAGAATATAAGGAATGCCGACAAATAAAGGGAAACTTGAACGGCTACCTCTGGTTCAGGTACTGTATTCAACCAGTCATACCATAATCCACGAAGCCCACAGAGACCTGACCGGGTATTTCCTCTAAATTCTCCAAAACAACGAGAATGCATAGGCCATCCTGCCAGCGCTATCCGTTAGGCACGCCGTTGACTTAGTTTGATTTGAAACGCTTTCAAAGGATATTCGGCTTCGCAAGTTGACTGTAAGACTTCAGAAATTATACGCGGATGTATTTTCTACGTCTAATGCTGGCGAGGCAAATTGATAACTCAAAGGCTCTGAGCCCCTTCGTTCTCCTTCGCTCTCAAAAATGACCTGAAACTGCATCAATAAACTGATAAACGTGACCGTTTGGAAAAGCGATGCATCGAAGGTCGTCTTACAGGCAGATGATTTCTTGAAAAGATCGACTAGACGTCATATCTGCCTGGTTTGGGGCGCGAATCATAACTGTGTCGTCTAAACGCAAAGAGCCGGCGAAATTTTCTTCCAGGAGTGGATAAAATTGCCAAAATATAACAGAAAACCGACCGATATAGCACCCGGAAGGGGAACTCGCAAGATTGGCGACCAGCCTACAGTATTTTCTAACCAAAACCTAGTCGTTTCTCTGGAAAGGTAAGTCATCACTGAGTTTGATGTCATAGTCAACGATAATGAATCATTCATCAGTGCCAACCCTCGCCACAAGTCTGCCGATGAGTATAACTTCACCCACAATACGAACCGATGGCATGCCAACTCAAATGAACAGACATTTCTCATGAATGAGTAATTCTCTCGATTGACCCATCAGCTGTAATCCACAATCCATGATCACGCTCTCTGTTAGGACTTTCAAAAGCCGACGGAAAACTTGTGGACATGATCTTACTTAAGCTTGACATAATGGAACAAACTTTGCTGGTGTTGCCAGCACGCGGCTCAGTAGCGAAAGAAAAGGATTCAGCCACTTGATGACTACAAACGCCACAATTCTTGCCCCTTTCACACCCACGAAAATAACCTTATTATGCTTGGAGCTATCATTTGAGGACCAGGGAAAACTATTGACGATTCTTTGGCAGGGGTGGCTTTGTGCTACATGTTGGAAGGAAGTACCCCCCACTACGAATGTTTATGCTCTAAGGACGACGGGTGTGCTTCATAAATAGTGCACGTGGGCAAACATACATGGTTATATTGTCTGCTTAGAGCCACACAGGGTTTGCAAACGGAGTTTCGGGTAGTGCGCTCTCGTCTAAGTTTTCCAGGACATACATCCGGTCCGAATGCAAGTTTACATCCGAAAAACGCAGCGGTCCACTGTGGAGTCCGGTGGATGCGGGTATTTTCCAGACTAATGTTTCACACTCACCCTCTAAGGACATCCAACTTCTCGGAACTCCGATACCGCTGCAGTAGAGATGACGGACGCTCAGAGAGAGAATTAAAAAGTGGGACTCCTCTAGTACCCGCATCGGGAAATGCGCATTTGAACGAGGCTATCAAATACAGCTAGCCATACTGATCGCATTTGCCGGTGAGACAATCCAATGGAACCACCTTTCTGGGAGCAAAGTGAATGCCTATTGGTCTACTTAAGTCAGTAGCATTACAAAGTCGCATTCGTAAGAAACCAGAAAATCCGTACTCTTAGCATGTATAAGCAGGCTACATAGGCCGTCAAGACAGAATACGTCAAACAGAAGGTAGTTTCAAGGGTTTAAAAGTTATTTACCCAACAGTACGGCACGACCGCTGTCTGAACGTAACTGCGACTACTTCTACCATGCTCATGGTCCTCTAACAGATATCGCAACTCTCATATACGAGAGACCTCAGCTGAGCGGAAAAGACCGCCAAAGCAGGTGACTTCTGAGAACATTTTAATGTTCCCCGACTTTATTCCGCATTGGATTTAAGGCAATAAATAAACGACCCGCCCATAAACAGATAGCAAAATTACGGTATGTGACCTAGACAAATGCGACTATAAACTACCGTGGGAGGTGCGTTCACCTTCGAGTTACGGGACGCACACACACACGTTGCGCCTGGCATCCCAATCCGGAGACCTCACGGGCAGTCCCATCGCAACCAGTAATGTGCAGGAAAGGGTACTGACAAAGACCAGGAAAGCCAGGATGACCATCTTCGGCCTAGTAGTCGTCGAACACAGATTCTTCAGTCGTAGAGCGTTCCCAAGTCCAACACTGTCACTGAGCCGTAGATCCACTGTTCTGACGGCCGCCATCAGGAAAATTCACTATCGCGGGAAGTGCGGGTTACGCGACGGCAGTGTACCCTACATTGCGTACACGAGCCCAGCAATTAATTGGAAGGTTGCAACGGCTAGCTTCCTAGATCGTAGTCACGCCATGCGTACAAAGGGAAGACGTCTCGGCCAGCAAAGAACTGAGGCTCATGGCGACTCCCCACACGGTCGGAGGAGGCGGGACAACGTTAACAATGCCGAAAAGACCGTCAACAAATCTCCCGTGATCTGGTGTATCTAGGTAGTTCCCTAACAATGACCCGTCGCGATTGATTCGGCAGGCCCCATGCTGCGCCACGAACAGAAGCCGCCAACCGCGATCAGCTGCCAGACCCCCAGGAGAATCCCTGTCGTGGACTGCGGGCCCAGAACATGCCGCATTGGCCTGCCGTCACGTCCCCACACGCCTTCAATCACCCACCCCGATGCCGACAGCAGCCAGGGGCGGCCCAAGGTGGAATTCATAGGAGCCTCGCCTTCAGACCTGCCTAGACCATAGTCGAGCCGTATGGGCTGGTGAGTAACGAGGGTGCAGCTGCAGACCCGGCTGGCCTCACAGACTGGGGCGCCACTGAAAATGGAATTGCGACGAACAGCATCGGCCTGGGCCCGTGCCTAAGTATTTCTGACAAGGGCCCCAGCCGCCGCCCCTAGGCTGTGATGAAATCGAAAGAGGGACGCTAGTGCCCTGCTGGCTAGGACAGCAACTGCCACCACCCGCAGACCGTATACACGGACACGCCCACCTCTGCCGGCAGAGTAGATTCCCAGGGCTCAGACGGACTTGGCGAATGTTGCATCGGAAATCGGGCCTGAAAAACTCGCTTCGGGCAAGTCCAAAACACCCCAAAAACAGAATGCGCCTCCCATGGAAAATTCGAGCCCCGAACCACCAGATGGATGAAGTGGCCAATAATGAAAGCTTAAGTCCATGACTTAGAACCCACCCGAGGTAGTCAATGGTAAGTACCAACAAAACGAGGCAGACGCGGCTAGAAGTATTTATTAGCCACAAGTATGGAGTGTTACCTGAAAAGTTAATATCAAGTAGGGAGACACCCGAGCTATTTGAGGTTGTCGGGAGAATTAATGCTTCGAGCTCGCTGGCCCGTCTTCCATCCTGAAATTGCCTAGTGGTCCTTGGAGAACATGTAACAGATGAGATCAATGACTCGGCAGCTGTAGCCGTACTCATTGTCGTACCTAAAATAAAATACTAGTTAGGGGCCCTGAAGACGCGGACATCTTACCATGCAACGAGCTTGACGAAGTTCGAGTTGAGAGCGATGCCTGCCTTAGCGTCAAAGATGGAGGAGGCGGAGCAAGTGTTGAAGTCCGAACTGACCACCTGATCTTCGGTGTAGTGCAGAATGTTGCGCAGCTGTGGGGACTCGGAAGCAGCCTTCACAACCGCCTTGATCTGATCATAGGTCGCTGGCTTCTCCAGTCTGCAGGTGAGGTCGACAACTGAAACGTTGGGGGTGGGGACGCGGAAGGCCATGCCCGTGAGTTTGCCATTGAGGGCGGGGATCACCTTCCCGACCGCCTTGGCGGCGCCAGTGGAGGCGGGGATGATGTTCTGAGCAGCGGTGCGGCCGTCACGCCAGGCCTTCTTGGAAGGACCATCGACGACTTTCTGGGTAGCGGTATAGGAGTGCACAGTCGTCATGAGCCCTTCAACGATGCCGAAGTTGTCGTTGATGACCTTGGCGAGGGGAGCCAGACAATTGGTAGTGCAGGAGGCGTTGGACACGACGTTCATGCTCGGCTGGTAAGCCTCAAGGTTGACACCGCAGACAAACATTGGAGCGTCGCTAGAGGGTGCACTGATGATCACCTTCTTTGCGCCACCCTTCAGATGAGCCTTCACAAAGCCTGTGGTTAAGGAGGGTAATTTAACTTACGGAAGCCTTATCCAAGGTAGTGTAGACCCCGGTAGATTCAACAATGTACTCGGCACCAACCGAGGCCCAGTTAATGTTACCGCCATCCATCTCTGCGAAGACGGTGATCGTGTGGCCATCGATGTGCAGCTTTCCGCCCTCAGCTTTCACGCTTCCCTTGAATTGACCGTGGGTGGAGTCATATTTGAACATGTAAACCATGTACTCCAGGTCGATAAAGGGGTCATTGACGGCAACGACATCAACGAGGTTGCTCGCCACGGCAGCACGAAGAACCATGCGGCCGATACGGCCGAATCCGTTGATACCAACCTTGGGCTTGACAGTCATCTCGGGAGCGTAAGCAGAGGGAACACGGCTCGCACTTCTGCAGCTGGATTTATTGTACGCCGTGGATCTAGCAACATACGCAAGCCGCCAATGGAGTGTACACACTGCTGACCTGTCTTCCAAGACGGCGGGAAGAGCCAATCAGCGCTGTGTTTGTGGCATTGACGAATTGGAGCATTCGTGGAGAGGGCCGTGCTCTCGGGGTTGAGAGGTAAGAGCGCGGTTAGACAGGCGCATGCCGCGCATTCCGTGTCTGCCTCTCCGCCGAGGCCCTAAGGTGTAGACTATGCCCACGAGCCAAGTGCACGGACCATGCGCCCGCGTGCGCGTGTGTGCTTTAAGCCGTAGCGGCAAGCGTCTGTCCACGCAGCTCTGGTGAATATTGCTGTGGCATTGTTTCAACGTGAATCAATAGGGGGGACGGAGGAGGAGGGGCTTCCGCGGTCAAACGGGATGTCAGGGCTTAGTGGCAACATTTGCTTCGGGCAGCGTCGCGGAAACCAACAATAACATGGACCCGAAGTAACACAGGCGAACATTTACCTATCGGTTGCCTGAGGGTTATTAAAGCCATGAAAACAAGTGCTCTTTGTGAAGATTTTAATTACAATTAGCCGGTGAAGCATACGTCAAATTTGAAAACAGTGTTCAGTCTCCTGTACGGAGACCTGCAGTCCGCGTTTGGGTACGGCCGGACGGACTCTACTGGCTCTTATCTCAAGATCACAGCTTACTTTGGTATAGTAGAATTCATCGGGCACGAACGGTCGCAATATTACTGGTAGCATACCCATACTGCATATTGATGTCAAATTTCCGGGCAGTTTATGCTCTAGCTAAAATACTGTGCAAGCGCCTCTCTAAACCATTAAAAATGAAGTCGACTCTACACAGAACATGAACAGAAATCATGAACAGTTCATTCCAATAGGTGTTCAGCATGACGCCTGTGGTTTTGTTTGCGAACCTACTTTAGAGGGCGGTGCGCCAAGTGTCCGCAGTGCGTAGACTGCACTGTCGGA